GTATTAATTTCTGTTAGATGGTGAGTCGACTCCAGGGTCCATAGTGCGGCCGAAAGGATTAGAACCCTACCAGATTTCATAACCTAATCCTATTTCATGCTACGCACTGAAAATATGCCGCATACTTTTACGCGTGTCCCGCAGTTAGTTCTGACAACTCTCCATAGATGGCTGCATATGAGTCCAAGATTTGTTTTCGCTCGCGTCGCTGCTCCTGTATGAAAGGAATGGACGAGGACGGGACGTGCTATGATGGGATGTGACATTCTTTGCATGTCTGCACAACCAAACCCTCGAACAATGACGCTCGTTAATGCAAATACAGTACACAAATGCCGGATAAGTCGTTTGGTAAGAATGGATATAGAGGGCCTTCCAAAATTGGCGTTCCGCTACAGACCGGAAGGATGACACAAAAGATGGCCGCCACAATGACTTGACTTAACCCTGCAGACTTCACTGAGATGATGGTTATGTAAAATTGGAATTCAGCACACTGCCATCCTATTCAAAACTGCAAACAGGTGTGTCGAATTTGCCCACAACTCGAATTTATGTGTTTTTTGTGCGATTTCTAGTAGAAACAGCGACTTTTTCCGAAGGACATTAACCGATTGGTCTTGGCGATGTAGTGTATACTTTTTTTTTTAATTTTATTTAGAGAAGAAGTGAAATCATTTTATTTTCCCTCCTCATACAAAAGTTTCCTGGGGGCACGCGGTAGCATACTTGGTTGAGGCATTATGCTACAAGCCGGAAGGTCTCGGGTTCCATTCCCCATAAAGTCACTGGATTTTTTCTATTGACCTAATCCTTCCAGCCGTTCTATGGCCATGGGGTCGACTCAGCCTCCAACAGTAATGAGTACCAGGAATCTTCATGGGGTAAAGGGCGGCCGGCGCTTAAGGCTGACAATCTCACCGCCATCTATGAGCCGATTGTTAAGAAAATATGGGAGCCTTGACGTCTCACAACCCTATGAGCATCCACAGCCTGTTGCAGGGATAGCTTTACTTAACCACATCGCCATCTGTGAGCCGATTGTCTAGAGAAAATGTGTGAGCCTGGACGTCTCACAACCCTATGGGCCTCCACGGCCTGTTACAGAGATAGCTTTACTTAAACTCACCGCCATCTGTGAGCCGATTGTCTAGACAAAATGTGGGAACCTCGAAGTCTCAAATCCTATGGGCCTCCACGGCGTGTTACAGAGGTAGCTGTACTTAAACTCATGGCCATCCGTGAGCCGATTGTCTAGAGAAAATGTGGGAGCCTCGACATCTCACAACCCTATGGGCCTCCACGACCTGTTACAAGGATAGCTTTACCGTTACAGAAGTTTTCTGTATGGCAAGATGAATCAAATTATTCTCTGAATTAAATTGAAATTTGACATGCATTCACAAAATTTGAACTCTACGTGAATATATCAGTTGCTTCCATTTTAAATCACTGTTCTCATTGAATTTGTTTTTGCCTTGACCCTTTCCGCACTCACGTTAAGTACTGAAACATGCGCTTTGATTTGTTGTATGCGTTCAGTGTTGCTCAGAACTGCAAATGGGCTGCAGTGTTAGGAGAGGGCATGATAATTGTACTTTTAGCTGATATTATCAGCTGGTGTTTCCGGTCCAGCTATCTCGTTCATAACGTGTAAAGGGTTTAAGGCTATGTAAATTCACACCGTGGGCCCCTGTTTATGGTTAGTAAGGTAAGGTAAAGTTGTCCCTGTGCTTAACTAGTCAAGCACTATGCCATGAAGGCGTATGGAGGAGTGCATGTATATATCCACATTTTCTTGACTTTGGGACTAGTTGGAGGCGAGTGGTCAGCTTTACGCCCCGGCCGCTTTATCCCCGGAAAAAGGAGCCACTGATACCCATTTTATATGAGGTTAGGTGGACCCCAGAGCCGGTCTGGGCTACTTGGAGGAGAGAAAATTCTTGACCCTACCGGGACTTGAACTCCGACCGCTCGGTCGTTGAACCTGTAGCCAGTCGCTGTAACGACTGCGTTATCCCTGCTCCGTTTAATGTTAGTACCGTGAATAATTTACACTCAGTGAACGAAATAAGAAATCGAAGTAAAAAAATGCATTTCATTTATTGTTTCTTATAAACAAACAGTATATGGTACAAACAAATCTTAAAATGTCCCATACTGGCTCAGTTGGATACCACCAAAAAGGGGATAGTGGGGAGACCAAAAGTTAGATGGATGAATGGAACCTGTGCTGCAGTGTCTAAGGAGAAGGAGGTTAGGAAAGGACGGTGGCACTTGAGAATCTGAGCTGGTAAGCCGATAGTTTACAGTAAATTTAACAATAATTGCCAGTCAGAGACAGTGGTTCCTGTATAGCCACAGATTGAGGTTATGTTTCTAGCGTGCGACCTGCCAACCTTCACACCCTGACTTGGCGGGACTGATCTGGTTTTGATGGCCGTTCTGCTGATACCCAATACCGTTCATCTGAGCATTTGTCTTTTGTATTTTTGGAGTTCATCATATTTACTCTCTAAAAGCACATATTTAACATTAAGAACTTTTCATTGTTTTGTAAGATTGTCAATATAAACAAACAGATTTGTGCAGTAGGAACTGATTTTTTTTTTTAAATATCATGGAATATCATGGCTTCATAGTTCTGAGCGTGTGTGTGTCACCATTTTGGTTCACCGAGAACTGTGCAGCCCCTAATGCACGATGTACTGTGCCGACGAAATGGTGTGGATGATAGTGTCCTTGTCTTGCCTCGTGCTTGCTCCTGCGATCACTCCAACCGATTGCACCGTTGGCTCCCCCGCCGTCGCTTCGTCCTCGAAGTGGTCTATTCTGTCTTTCAGAGTTTCGAGTGTCTGGTTCAGTTGCTTAGGAATCTCTTTCACGGGAACATTTGACGGGGCCACCACGAGCACCGGACTTCCAGCCACGCTCGACACTGTGGATGTGTCAACCTCACGCCTTCAACATAAAATGTATTTGCGTAAGCCGTCGTTTCCACAGGCGTTGGAAAGGCGAAAGAATACAACATTGTAATTCTACTTTGGGGGGGGGGGTAGGATAATTGGTTGAGGCACTGTGCTACAAGCCTGAAGGTCGCGGGTTCGATTCTCAATGAGATCATATTTTTCGATTCACGTAACCCTTCCACCCGCACTATGGCCCTGAGGTCGACTCAGTCTCTAGTTAGTTATTAGAGAGGGTGGGTTTCCCCATGCACTGAGACCTGTATTGGTCCATTGTGCTTCCCTCTATGATTTCTACCAGTCTCTATATCCTGCCGGTACTGGTGCTTACCATCAGTCCCGCCCAGCCAGCGAGACCGGCTCTACTGGCTGAGAGGTATCTATAATGCTTCCCCCATCTACCTGAGGTATTAGTGACTGCTGTCGGGCGGCAAATGTTC